CCCCATAGTTACCTCTTCCCAGTGTCCATCCCTTCATGGACTCCTGCCCCCTGAGCTGTCTCCCTGTGCATAGGCAGCCCTTCTTTCTCAATGATTGTTCTCTCCAAGGAGTGTATCTACCTCAGGTAAATGTTCAACTCATATGCCTGTCTTCTGTTTGACTGGAAACCACAGGTATGGGTTCGATTCCAGACCTGAAGGAGCTAGGGGCCATAGTCTCAGTGGTTCCACCAGAGGAGCCTTGTTTTTCACCGATTCCTTTAGTGCAGCTTCAACTTTTTCCTTTAATACCATTGGTTCTTCATCATATGCCACCTCCTGAAATGGATGATCATCTAACAGCTCTTTTTGGTATAGTGATTCTGTATATTACATCCACCTTCTTTTGATGTTCCCTGCATCACTGAACATACTGCCCATGGAATCTTTCAATATTGCAATTCACAGCCTAAATATTTGCTTCAGGTCTTTCAGCTTGAGAAATGCTGAGCATGTTCCTCCTTTTCAGTTTTTTAACTCCAGGTCTTTGCACATTTCATTATAGTAATTGACTGTCTTCTCAAGCTGCTCTTTGAAATATTCTGTTCAGCTCTTTTATCATGTCAATTCTTCCATTTGCTTTAGCTACTTTCCATTTAAGAGCAAGTTTCAGAGTCTCTTCTGACATCCATTTTGGTCTTTCTTCCTTTCTTGTCTTTTTAATGACCTTTTACTTTCTTCATGGATGATGCGCTTGATGTCATCCCACAATTCCTTTGGTTTTCAGTCATAGGTGTTCGATGCATCAAATCTGTTCTTTAAATGGTCTCTAAATTCAGGAGGGATATAATCAAGGTCATATTTTGGCTCTCATGGACTTGTTTTCATTGTCTTCAGTTTCAACTTGCATTTGCATATGAGCAGTTGATGGTCTGTTCCACAATCACCTCTTGGCCTTGTTTTGGCTGAAGATATTGAGCTTCTCCATCACCTCTTGCTACAGATGTAGTCAGTCTGATTCTTGTGTACTCCATCTGGCAAAGTCCACACGTATAGCCACTGTTGTGTTGTTGCAAAAATGTATTTACGATGAATAAGTCATTGATCTTGCAAAATTCTATCATGCAACCTCTAGCATCATTTCTATCACCAAGGCCATATTTTCTAAATACCAGTGATTCTTCTTTGTTTCCAACTTTTGTGCATTCTAATAATCAGTGATAATTGACACATCTTGATTGCATGTTTGGTCAATTTCAGACTGTAGAAGTTGGTAAAATCTTCAATTTCCTCATCTTTGGCTTTGGTGGTTGGTGCGTACCCTGGAATATGCTAATTGGCTTTAGCTTGGGTTCTAAGCTTAGGCCTGGCTTCTTGAACAAAAGGGAGCCCTGGTGACATATGGTGAAAGTGGCTGGCTCCTAACCAAAAAGTTCAAATTCAAACCCACCAGATGTTCCATGAGAGAAACATGTACCAGTCTGCTTCCACAGATATTTACAGCATTGGAAACCCTATGGAGCAATTCTACTCTGTCCTATAGGGTTGTTATGAGTTAGCATCAGCTCAGTTAGGTTTTGGTTTTGGGTCTGGAACCAAACAGGGCAAAGGAAATAGGATTACCATGATTGGATCCACTTGGGGATTGAATTAGCTTCCTCTAAGTGATCCAGGGATGGATGGATACCTAAATACAATTAAGGTTCTGTTAGAAAGGAGGAATAGGATAATAGCCACTAAAAAAAAAAAAAACCCTCACTGCCATTGAGTTGTTTCCAACTCATAGTGACCCCCATTGGATTTCCAAGGCTGTAAATCTTTATAGTAAATTGCCCAGTCTTCCTTCCTCAGAGAAGCTGGTGGGTTTGAACCGCTGACCTTCCAGTTAGCAGTCAAGTGCTATATCCACTACACCACCAGAGCTTCTCATGGCCACTAGAAAAGCAAATAATAATTACCACTAAATTCTCAGTGGCCCACTTTCCTCTCACAAGTCTTATATTTTTACTCTGAGTGGAATATTACTCTGAATTGGGGTTTACTCTAACTAGGGAGATTTTGCCCTTGTGCCACAGTAACATAAAACACAACTATGGCCTTTAAAATTTGTAAAAATGAGTAAAACAAATTAACTATCTTAAGCAGCTAATGGAATTATACTTTTTATAGTATTTATTTTTATCTTAGGTAATCAGAACTTTTTATGAATATCATCCCCCCGTCACAAGATCATTTTTATGCCCTAAATAAAAATGGAAGCATTAGGGTAACTGGTTCAAAAGCATAAGAAGAACTCCTGGTAATACTCTAGGTCCAGATTTCCTGTCTTTAAGTTTTACATTATCTATGTTACCTTTTAAAACATTATTTAGAAACTTCAGTAGATTTTGAAACTGTTACCTGGTTAGTATATCTAATCAGTAGACAAACTTATTGCTTGCACTAAGATCTTACCCATTTATTTTTCTTTTTGTGCACATATCTAGAAAATTAAAATACAGTACTATTGTTTTCTCCTTTTTTTATTAGTTTACATTTCAGATCATAATACTGACTTTCACTTTACTCACTCATCTGACATCGAGCACTTACTATGTACAAAGTACAACAGTTCTGTTGTTGTTATGTGCTGACAACAACAGAACTGTTGTACCTTGTACATAGTAGGTGCTCGATGGCAGATGAGTGAATAAAGTGAAAGTCAGTATTATGATCTGAACTGTAATAAAAAAAGGAGAAAACAATAGTACTGTATTTCGAGCACCTACCATGTACAAAAAAGCAATCTACTTCTGTAGTGATACCGCCTCGGAAACCCAAGGAGGGGTCACTATGAGTCGGGGCCGACTCAACGGCACATAACAAAAAAAAAAATTGTACAAGTTACAACAGTTGTACAAGGTACAACCTAGAAGGTTCTGTTTTTTTAACTGGGTTTGGGGTTTTGTTTGTTTGTTTGTTTTTCAGCACCTTATTCCAGTTCCAATAATATTTGCTAATACTTTTAAGTAAACATAACTACATTGTGGTCAAGATGCAGGTTCCTTAAAGCACTACCAATTCTTACTTACCTGAGGTTGTAGAGAACACCTGAAATACAGATCAAACTAGTAAACAACCTCAAAATCATTTTCTATTTTGTGTTGGAGTTAATTTTTATATTTCTATTTGCATGTAGGTCCTTGTATCCAGTTTCCAGTGGGTAAAATAAACAGAAAATGTTTACTTTAATATAATATGTGGCCTTAACATTTAGAAGCAAGAAGTATCTGTTATAAGCTATAGGGGAAGCCGATATCCCTCCCCTGAAATATTGAAGAATTATATATTTTGGGGTGTGGAAGGAGAGAGTCCTAATAACAGTAATTAACAGTATAGAAATTTCTTGAACATCATCTCATTTTCCTATGGGCATAAATTGGTATCCCCAGTTGAACAAACAATCTGAACACAAAATAGAATGAATTATCTGGCTAAAATAATATCTTACTTCCTTATTTACATTGGTCTTTGACCACTTTGACTGTTCAGGGATACAAAAAAAAAAAAGTGGATTCATTAATAAATAAGTGAATCTACTAGAAAAATTTAAACAAACCCATGACCCCAAAGAAACATATTTTGTACAAAATAACTTATTATTATTAAAGTATGTGTCACCACTGCTTACAAATTTCATTCATATTTGGTAGTGAAATATAAATGCTTGAAATATACATTTATTTGTACAAAGCTAATTTTACAGATTGGTGGCAGAATTCCCTGCAACTGGAGGAATACTTACTTCATGGCAATTTTACTCTGTGAAGCTCCTCAGATATGTTAGTTATTATGATTATTTTCTTGCTTCCTGTGAAATCACATTTTGTATTTTTCTCGTTGTCTTCACAACACAAGAAGTAAAAAAAATAAAAGAATTTAAATCTGCCTATTTCAAAAGTATTTGGAACTGGATAGAATTACTACTTTTGGTGGTGAGTATATATTCAATATATATATATAGTGGAAGGGTATCACATATGAACTCACCAGTGATCTTCTATTCATCCAAGATTTACTTTAAAAACTACAAGTATGAATCATAAAATGAACTTCTGTCATAGTACATCCTTATGGTCTCCTTCCAAAAGGGAGAAATCTTTTCACTTTTATCTTTGGGAGCACAAGGATAAGTCTAGATGAATAGGTAATTCGATAGGCATCATGATTTATTATGAGCAGTAGGCCGCCCCACCCCCACTCAAAAATGTTTTCCTCACAGGACCTCATGTTTCACCAATCTTGGGACTTTTGGGGGCAGAGGCCTTTAAAATGTGCTCTACTGTGTTGTCTAAATCTGCTTTCCTCCTCAGGCTAGATTTTGTGATTGGCAAAGGACAAGCCTAGGCAGAATACCGAAAAGTGGGGGTGTGGTGGTGGTGGTGGTGGTGGTGGTGGGGTGTTGAGCATCTGTATGATATCTTATGCGAACAATAGGGCACAGAATTGGTGAATAGTCCCTGAAAGAAACTGAAGACTGCCAGTTCTGTTCATTGGAATATACTGAAACAAATACAGAGATGTAAGCAGGGTAGAACAGATGCTAAGAACAGTCAAGGAACAGTCAATAGAGAAACTTTCTGGCTCATACAATCTTACCTTTTACCCTTTTTGGCCCTTAGTTATAGCCAATCCAGTATTTAAGCCTTCTTTCCCTATATCAGATTAAAGGGTTACCAGATTCAGAAAGTATGCCACCAGCCTCTTTGTTATCCCCAGCATAGAATTAAAAGCTTTTACCTATCTAAGTATTTCTGACAAGGTAAGTCAAATGAAAAAAATCATGCTAGTTATTAAATTCTTATACCTGACTCTGAAATCCTCTTCTGAAAGGGTTATGAAAGGGTTCTAAAAAGATTTGGTTTTTGTAACTATAAATTTTCTTGTAGTGGTACAGAGTGCAGTATATGAAACTTTTACATATTATGTGCTTATAGGAAGCAGAAACCCTTACAGCTTAGTCAGAGTTAAATAATCAATGTATCTGTGATTGATGACTGTAAGAAATATAAGGCAGGTGACCAGGCAGTCAATATTTTTCTACTTTTATAATTATGCCCCCTTTACCATCTGTAAATTAAGGGTTACTTCCATTTGTGTAAAAGCCTATATCTGATATCTCCCTCTAGTTTGGTTAAATTTTTGAGGAATTTTTTCATGTGTTTCTTCATAGGCTGCAAGAGATTTAGAAGTAGAAATAGTCTCTAATTTCACCCTTCTTATTTTCTCATTTAGCTGTGCTTTATGGCCATTTCCTTCAACGCATACTGTAATATACAAATTTTTCTCTCACTTGGGCAGCTTTTGGAAAATACTGAAAAATATTCAGACTTCTATTATCTTGCATATTGGCACATTCACTACAATAATGTAATTGCTATTACCATCTTCTTTGCATGGATAAAGGTATTTATATTTTTTTATATTACATAATACAATAGTGTAATGACATAATGGGAAATTAAATTACAAAGTCAGGAATAAACAAAAGGATCTTCTCAACTATAAAGTAATTTTTAAAGTAGTTTGGCCTTGTAATGCTTTCTGGCAAGGCCTCAAACATCTCCTGGCTATCATTAAGGACCTCCTTTAATTTGAAGCACATTTCTTCTAAAATTAATTTAACTTACCCTAAGTAATTATAGCCTTTGATATTCTTTCTTCTATTTCAATTAACTTTGTTCTTTTTCAGATATTCAAATTCATAAGCTTTAATAAGACAATGTCTCAGCTATCATCAACCTTGTCCCGCTGTATCAAAGACATAGTAGGATTTGCCATCATGTTTTTTATAATATTCTTTGCTTACGCCCAGTTAGGATTTCTTGTTTTTGGATCACAGGTTGACGACTTTTCCACTTTTCAAAATTCCATGTAAGCTCTGAGTATAAGTGTAATTATAATTTTTAATTTATAACAAGAAAAATTATGGTAAAGGCCTATAATAAGTAGTAACAAACTTCAATACATCTAAATATGGTTTAATATTGTCATTGATGGCTAAATATCTGTCTCAAATAAAGTAGGATTGACACTGAAAGATCCAAATGAATAGTAGTATCCATTTTTTAGGCATTAGCAGGTCAAGTTAGAAAAAACAATTTTTCATATTTCATTGGAAGTGAAAGTATTATCTAAGATAGTGGAAACTGGCCACATGTCTTTGCAAAATTTTTCTGTGGGTAAAAGAAATCTTGGGAGCTATGGTGGTGTAGTGCCTAAGGCATTTGATGGCTAACCAGAAGGCTGGAAGTTCAAACCCACCAGCCACTCCTCGGAAGGAAGATTGGGCAATCTACTTCTATAGTGATACCACCGTGGAAAACCAGGGAGGGGTCACTATGAGTCAGATCTGACTCGATGGCAGTGAGTTTGGTTTGGTTTTAGGTTAAAAGAAATCTTAAGTGTTTTCCTTAGAGGGCTCCGTCTTTAGAATCCTTTTACTGATATTTTACCTTTGCTGATTTGGCAAAGATGTGTCTTAAAAATAACTTTATATCATAAAGCATTCAGTAGCAGAAAACTAGCTTACAGAACTGATTAAGGTAGAATCCTGAGAAATATACTATGGCTTTTCTTTAAAAGTGAAACATTTTGTTCTGTAAACTTTTGCCCAAACCACCACAGAATGTTCAAAAATTAAAAGTGAAATATTTTTGTAAATTTACTGTATTTTGGGAGTAGGTTAAGCAAATTTTATCTGTATAAGGGAAATTATGATAGTCTAAAATACCAATATTCTGATACGTTCTGTATAAAGTCCCTGGGTAGCACAAATGGTTTGCACTTGGCAGGTAACCAGAAGGTTGGTGGTTTGGATCCCCCCAGTGGCATCACAGAAGAAAAAGGCCTGCTGATCTGCTTCTGTAAGGATTAAAGTCACCTCAACAACATAACAAAAAAAGAAAAACAAAACAAAACAAAAAATCAACATCAAAATATTTTCTTTGGAATTCTAGACCAAGTTTGTCTGGGGGGAAATGGCTTTATAGTTAAATGTTTGGGAAACTTTGCATCATCCTAATAGAAATTTACAGTGCACTTTAACACACACCTCTGAGAAACCCTGCAATAAATGAACTGTTCAACGTTAGTTCCAAATTCCCCATATTTATTTGTCTATGATCCTTTTACTCGAATTTTAGGAAACTTTGATCTAACAAAATGTCATAGATTTCTCCTCTTTTTTATATCACATGTAAATAATTAAAGTGCTGATTGTATAACATTTATTACATCTTTATAACATAATCCTTTACTGTATCAGCAAAGGGAAGAAGAGTGGATTGAGAACCGTGAGGATCTATATCTACTTCCAATTCTAGCACTAGCTGCTTTACTTTTTTAGACCTTGGTTTCCTTATCTGTAAATTGAAGGAGCTGGACTAAACCCCAGATGCCCCTTCCAGTTTCACATGATTATAATTTAAGAAGTCTAATTAGTTCATCTGGGAGTGGATGATAGATGCAGTTTCAATATCTTCTTGGTCCTTTCCCATGATCTTAATTCTTTTAAGTGTGATTTAATAATAAAACTTTTTAATAGAATTGAGCACTGAATATAAATGCAGTAATTTACAGATCCTTGGAAATTTGTTTTATTTGGGTAGTGGGGAGGAAAGGAAGATAGAACACATGGATTAAACAGGTAGAGAACTTTGGAATGTATTAATGAAGGGACTTCTGCTTTTGTTAATAGTGTGCTAGATTATTCAGACCAACCTCATCTTGAGGCCAATTTTAAAAACTGGATGAAATACATAACACTGAAAAATGAACAAGTGAATGAAAACTGGGTGAAAATTAAAAGGTGAAAATCCAAAGATGTAAGCCTAGCACCCAAAGTTACTTTGGCCCTGAGGGTATTTTTGCTGCTACAGAAGAATTAGCTGAAAAATGGTTTTTAGCTACCTCTTAGGATGAGACATAAGGCAAAGCCTAGGGCCTGCCTAAGGTGGGAGATGGTGGGGAGAGGGTATCTGATAACCTCTCTATATGTGGAACAGTGACTCTGAAGTGCTACAACCTCAAGTTAAAGATGAATCTCTAACAGTGATTTGAAGCTTGGGTTCAATCACCTACGTGTCTAGGGAACCTCAGATCTTGAATTTGGATTAAGATGGTGCCAGGTTGGAATGCTTGCATATACTTGGCTGACAAAAAAAAAAAAAAAAACAACTCTGAAAGAAAGTATATTCATCCTAGGTCTCACTTATTTCTACAAGTAATTTTTCAAATATAATGTATTGTTTACCATCAAAGATAACAGAACCAGCATATACAACAGACAAGAGAAACACTGATTGATATTAGAATAATCAGACAGCATTTACTATATTTAGAGAAATAAAACCCAAGTCAGAAATATCTTGAGAGAACAGAAAACTATAAAAGTGACATCTTTGAAAAAGAATCAATTAGAATTCAGAAACTGAAGATTACTGTAACAGATTACAAATCCACTGAACATGTGGAACAACAAATAAGACAGATGAAGAGAGAATGAGTGAAGGGAAGTCAGAAGAAATTATCAAAAAGTGGCATGGAGAGAAAAAATGTTAGGAAAGGGTATGAGACATAAAGGATAGAATGAGAAAGCCTAATATATGTTTAACCTGAGTTACAGAAGATGAAAGTGGAACAGAAGCAATATTTAGAGAATGCTTAGGAATAGTTACCACCCGGGCAAAGCATCCAAGAGAAAGACTGACAAGTCATATTAACCACACATAGCGCACTGTCAAGGGATAGACATTTTAACAAATAAGGAAGAACTCTAGAAAGTTAGCAAGGGTCTCAAGAAGTTATAGAACAGTATTTTCATTTAATGTAACTTTGTATGTTGAGGGGTCATGGTGCTTTTAGTTTGCAGTTGAAAAGAAAAAAAAAAATAGTTTGGATAAACTAAACTCCAATTAGGAGAGAAAGGGGACAATCCCAATTATACTTTATATGGAATCTCCAATTTCTATGTGAGCATATTGCTTAAGTTTTTGTTAATTCTCATTATTTACAGAGCAGAGGTAAACGTTCCTGATAGAAAAGGGCTGAATGGAAGCATAAGTCAATGAGATAATTTTTGGAGAGGAGGAAAGAATGAGAAAACAATGCTTTAATTTACCTTTTCTTTTATAAACACGACTTGTTAGAAACATTAAAACAGAACCTCTTTTTTCTCCTGTAACAGAGGAGAAAGTATTTTAATTGTGGTGAAACTTCTCATCTTCTTCCAATTCAGCATTTCTCTTTCTATCATTTGTAGAACATTAAAAGCAGGATAAATATTTTTGTCTATGTATGATTTAGTCACATATTGGTAGGTTCTAGGGATGAAATCCACACAGCTCTGAGTCCTAGGACCAAATGGTCTATTTCCTTGAATATGTCCTTCATTGTAGATAGCCCTATGCTCCTTTTGTGATGGCAAAAACAACATAGGACAAGAAACCTCTTTTGACTGACTGATCAATCATGTAGAGCATCAGTATATTACTGCAAATTCCTTCCCAGGTTTCCCCTTAAAATAAAGAACTCACACACATAACTTATACCTGATATTCCTGATATATCTGGTAATGCCATTACAAATTAATGATGAGAAAAATGAGACTTCATGTTAGAAAATACTAATCCTACATCTGCTACTGCTCCTCTAAATAATTCAAAGACATTAATTTTCCATCTCTAAAACTAGAAATATAAAGATTTGTAGTATTTTAAATGCTATCTCACATCAAAATCAAGCTTTTATAAGTTATTGAAGAGAATTACATAAACTTCAGAACCATTATTGCCAACACTTATTTGAGACTTATTAGTGACAAACTGTTGGCATCCTTATTTTAGTGTAAGTTAAGAGGTGGTTCAAACAAAATTTACAACATCGTGGACATTAGAAAGCTTAAGATTCCTGGATCTACTACAAGTTGAAAAAAAATTGTTGGACAAAGTATTCTAAGTCTTAGAAGGGTATAAGAATCAAACAAGGGGGCCAATGCCAAGACTAAATTATTTCAAGGTTCAAATCTTGTAAGTGAACAAATAGTTCATGATGGTTAAATTGAAGACCATAATTTCTTGGACTACCTGTTCAGCTACAAAGTACCTCAAGTCCTGCCTTTAGAGAGATTTTCCATATCGTTTTATAGAACACTGTACTAATATAACTAAAGTCAGAGAACATATGCCATATGCAGCTAGATACATTCCTAGAGACTTTCCATCAGTTGCCAAGTGTGCATATGAAGATACATTTTTCTAATGTTTTTCTTTCTTCCCATCAAAGATTTGCACAATTTCGAATTGTTCTTGGAGATTTTAATTTTGCTGGTATTCAGCAAGCCAATCGGATCTTGGGACCTATTTACTTCATCACTTTCATCTTTTTTGTGTTCTTTGTCCTGTTGGTAAGAATGACCATATATGCACCCTTTGATCTTTTTGCTTACACTTTTTAGAATAAAAAATGAAATTACTCATTGAGACTAAGTTATATTACTGCTTAGTTGTAAGAATAATTTATTTAGAATGGTATGGATGCCTACTAATCCAGGTTGTCTGGTCCAGTGTCTACTGTTTTCAAGTTGCCCAATAGATAATGTGATCACAACCGTAGTTACCATCTGTGTGTTTATTGTGTGCCAAAACCAAAACCAAACTCACTGCCATCGAGTCGAACCCGACTCATAGGATCCCTCCTTGAGCTTCTGAGGCAGTATCACTATAGAAGTAGATTGCCCAACCTTCCTTCTGAGGAGTGGCTGGTGAGTTTGAACCACCAGCCTTCTGGTTAGCAGTCAGATGCCTTGGGCACTATGCTACCAGAGCTGCTAAATCATTTACATATGTAACTTGAGTGTCCCAGGTCTCTCCAGACTGTAGGTATGAATTAGGTCATTAATATTATGCTGATATTGCAATTACTTTTGTAACATTATGCCGATATTGCAATTACTTTTGGCTCTTACCAGCTGAAACCTCACACTTTTATGATTTCTAGGAGTCCTCAGGATGGATACCTCACATGTGCTCAGGACAAGTCTATTCAGTACCTAGTTAAGGCACTGCTACTGTCCTCCATGAAAACACTTTTTGTCATGCACAGAAATTATCCCTTAAAGGTGGCCCAGAGCCCACAGTGTGACAAAGCTGGGCTACAGAAAAAGGTGGAAAGGTGGATTGGATATAAGACTACCCTCTCCAATCTCCAGTTTTTTTGTGTTATCTGGGCATTAATAGTCATAGCACCCTTAGTATGAATGCTAATTATACAGCTTTCTAGAATTAAAAGAACCCTATGAACATGATTACATTATTCTAATTCTGATGTATAATATTGATTATATATAATGTGTGTAACCAGCTCATATACACTATTTTACATTCTGCTGTTCTTGTTTAACATTTTCCATTCTATCATATTGTAGTCTACATGGTTAATTCTCTTACTAAGCATGTAAGTAAGGAGCTCTGGTGGTGTACTGCTTAAGGCATTTGACTGCTAACCAGAAGGTTGGTGGTTCAAACCCACGAGCCACTCCTTGAAAGTAAGACTGGGCAATCTACTTCCATAAAGATTTACCACCTCAGAAAACCAATGGGGGTTGCTATGAGTCAGAATCAACTCAATGGCAGTGGGTTTGGAAGCATATGTTACTTTTAAAATTTAAACCTAATTTTATAAGAATAATTGTTGGAATATTTTTCCCTAGAACATGTTCTTGGCAATAATTAATGATACCTATTCAGAAGTGAAGGCTGATTATTCAATAGGCAGAAGGCCAGATTTTGAACTTGGTAAAATGATTAAAAACGTGAGTCAAACTCTTTTCTCAATTGCAATTATAAGACAAGTTTTGTTCACTTTACATCACTGTAGTCTGAATAACACCTAAACCCCAAATGATACATATTTTTTCCAGTGTTAACTTATATTTTCATTATTTCACTACTAGGGAAATGAAGTATGCTCTCTGGCTTTAAAAATGTAGCCCAAATTATTTTAGGGTGATGTATCGAACAGTAATTGAGTTATTTACTAAGTGCAAAGCACCATGTTAGGTGTTACAAGAAAACTCCTCCAAAAGCTTTCAATTTAAATGCTGGTAAATTTCTGTAACAATCTGAACTCAAGAGCTCAGTGTGCTTCCTCTTCCTAACATTTCTATTCATAGTTACCCCGGCTCAAAAACCTTAGCCTTTTTATTCCCTTGTTCCTTAGACTGTTTTGAAATGTACAGTGTGTGAAGTGTATCTCTATAGCTCTTGCTCACATATGTGGAATCCAAGGCAATGTTGAATTCTAACTGCTAGATTATCACCCAACCTTCTGTATAGTTAACATCTTAAGTACTCTAGCCTCTTCCAAAGCTCTGATCCCATCACTTCTCTGCTCAAAAATCATCAGTCTCCTCTGGGCCTGTCAAAATAAGTCCAAATTATTTTAAGTCTCACAACATCAACCTATCTTTATTAACTATCATTTAATTATAGTATTTCTCCCTTCTCTGCCTCCATTAGGAGCTCTGGTAGCATAGTGGCTAAGACACTTGCCTGCTAACCAGAAGGCTGGCGGTTCAAACCCACCAGCCACTCCTCGGAAGGAAGGTTG